ATCCTAATATTGCTTTGTCCTGACCGTAGATTTAATTGTAAATGTGCTCCTATTAGGGGTATGAGCACAAACTTTTTTTTACTGGCAACTGCTGCAAGATCAAGAAGATGTGGCAGTTCCTAGTATATAGTCTTAGTGCTTCTCCATGTGTGGCTGGAAAGTCACCCGCATCAACCTATACATATGCCAGGTCCCCACCCAAGACCTACTGAGTTCAAATCTCTGGGAGGTAAGACTCAGAAATCGGCTGTTTGGAAACAAGCACACTGAAAATTGGAGAGTGTCTGCTTTCAACTTGGGAGGTAGGAGTCACTCCCATTTTACAGATGGGGAAACTGAGGCTCCGGAAAGTCAAGAAATTTAAACCCAATGTCATACAGCGAGCAAGAGGCATGGGCTGATTCCACCCCCATTTTTTTAGGATTACAGGGGTGCATGAGTGCTTGGTACATGCCACATGATCATAACCTCTGAGACCTGGAGGTCATGATGCATGGCTGCAGGTGGTTAACTGAAGAGCCGACCCCCATGGGCTTTCTCCATCGCTAGAAGCCAAGAGAAAAGTGACATCTGAGTCTTGTTATACAAATACACATCCTTTCTTTCTCCCTCAGGATTTTAAAGATTAGGTTCAAAATGAGTGAAAAATGTGGTCAGCCAAGTTTCCCGTTGCTTCGTCCCAAACATTGGTTTTCTTGAGGCTTTGTTCTCAATTTGGAATTAAGGTCCTCAGAGTAACATGGCCTCACTCGAGAGACCGAACCTTCTCTGGCTGTTCAAATTCTACTCTCTGCCTGCCTTTCCCGAGACCACTGTAAAGGCCCGTTGTTCAAACAGAGCAGGACAGTCTGAGAATGAAAAGCATGAATAAATGCCAGTTCTCTTCTCTCAAACTGATAAAGACTTGTTCTTTCACGGCCCTGCATTTATACCTTTATGACACCTGTCACCATCTCCTAATTAGCATCCAGAGTCTCAGCTGTGTGAGGTCTCCTCAACTATAGTGCGAGGAGTTTTCATGGGTTCACCCGCCCCCCCAATAATGTGTTGAGTCCTCACCTTACGCCACAGGCTATCCTAGATCGAGGCAAAAGGCACTTGTTCGTGGGGCACCCGGGCAGCTGAATCAGTTAAGCATCCAACTTCAGCTCAGGTCATGATCTCGCGGTTTGTTGAGTCTGAGCCCTACGTTGGGCTGTGTGCTGACAGCTCAGAGCCTGGAGTCCGCTTCAGATTCTCTGTCTCCCCCTCTCTCTGCCCCTCCCATGCTCGTGCTCTGTCTGTGTCTCTCAATAATGAATAAACATGAAAAAAAAAATTTTTTTAAAGGCACTTGTTATAGTTGCTTTAGTTGAAAAAAAATTAAAAAAATTGCTAGCAGTCGACTCCAGGCAACTGATTTAATGTGGCAGGTGAGAATCATCTGGAATCAGCATATGTAATCGGTGTGCCTCAAGTGTTGTTTCTTCAAGTGGCCAAGAGTGCTTGGAAGGTCAGACTGTTTACAGATGTCTACTATAATCTCATGTGTTGGAGAAACTGACAAATTTAGTATACAAATGTGCGACATATTTTTCCCATATATTCACAGGAAAAGCATTTACCATGAAAAACAAATGTCAGCTTGTCTCTGTTTAATTATCACTAGTTCCCAAATAGAGGATTTGAAAATAACTGAGGTTTACTCTGGAGTTAAAAATAAACAAACAGAAAGCAAGAATGTCCACATTTTCATCTGAAAGTCTAAGTAAGTCCAAGACTGGAGGCTTGGTTCCCGTGACCACACAGGCAAAACTAAGGGAGTCAGATCTTTGCTCACATACTGGGATTTTGTGCCTCCTTTATTCTTCCGAGGGCCTCCTGCTTGCAGATGCCGATGGAAAACTTAGGAAGAGTGAGTCTTATCCTTTGAGTCAGAGGCAGAGTGAAGCAGAAAGGGAGAAATGGCGTCTGGCCAGCAGTTGCTGAGCGTGGACAAATGGGCGTGTGTTAAGCAACCTCAAATTCTCTTTGTTCCTTTGAAGGTCGGGTTTGACAGTTATAACAACTTGCTACTAATGGCCTTGGAAACCAGAGGAAAAATATCTACTTTCATATTTATATGACAGTTCAACTTCTGCCAGTAAAGAACGTGTATGTGCGTATACACATATATACACATACATGTAATATAGTAATAATCTTATATCACAATCACAGTCGAGGTTTAACGTGGTGAATACCTACAGGACGCAGTTTGCTAAGTTCACGGAAGACCAGGATGTCCACTCCTGACCACAGCCAGTGCCTCACGTTCAGGGTGCATTGGCGCTTTGGGGGCGTTCAGAATATTTGAAAAGTTCACTATTGGCAAGCATCACGTTTCTGATGGGGGGTACACCCGACTGCAGAAAGAAGACACGCTACACGGGGTGGGACGGTTAGTCAGTTGCTAGACAACCCGGTGGATGAAGCTACAGTCTGGAATTTCTTTTCATTCTTTAGATTCTGACTTCCTCTGACATCCTTTGGTAGAGCCTGGATGTGGGGTTAGACAAAAGGAGCCATGATGGCTTTAAAAACAAACAAACGTAAAAACAAAAAACAAAACAAAACAAAAAAAACCTTGAAAATCTTGGCCATCTGCTAACCTTTTTGAAGCAGTTATTCGCACAAAAAAAGAATCTTTAAAACTTAGGAGAACTGCTGATCATGGTGAATATGCAGCCATCTCAGGATGTAAAATCGTGCACACGTTCCAAGTGCAGGAGTGGGTTTCTGTGCAAGGCACAGAGACCTGTCTGCACTAACTCCTCACCTTACCCTCTTTCTGTCTGAATTTCCTTCTTTCCTTCTTCTGTTTTAGAGACAGCAGGGGAAGTCGAGATGCCCGTAGCTGTCCAGTCCTCCTTCCACCGGACCAAAGGTTGAATCCCCTTTGGGGTTATACTAAATGTAAAATATGGCCTTTCGACCTTTAGCAAACTGGCTCTATTCTGAGCTCTATTCTGAGGCTGTAAGCTGACCACCTCAACCTCAATGTCTCAGCGTGGAGCCCAACGCGGGGCTTGAACTCACGACCCTGAGACCAAGACCTGAGCTGAGATCAAGAGACGGACACTTAACTGAGCCACCCCAGCGCCCCTTCCTTTATTCTTTTTTCTGCGTGGAAAGCAAATGTAATGATTGGACTACACAGTGATCTTGAGAAGGAAGGCAAGATGATAGGAGCACTGGTTGCTGACAGAATGGGACACTCTAGCACCCTGGACTGCTACTTCCGGCCTCCTTTTACACAAGAGGTAAATACGTCTCTATTGTATAAGCCATTTATCACATGCAGCCGAATCTAATCCCAATAGACACACTTGGGGAACTGAAGGACTCATTCTCAAATATGAAGCATTGGGTGTACGAAGTACAATAACAAACACATACAACGCACATAACAAGGACAGCAGTTTCTATTTTAGGGGCTCTGTGTGACCTTGTAGGTAGAGATGGTATGTCCCCAAACAAACCCAGGGTAATGTATGCCTGTTAAGCATTTGTCAGGGTGCCGTCCTTAAAGATGCTGGGAAATCATGTTTTCTATTAAATAGTTACCAATACGCGGTGATGACATTACAGACATTTCAGTTGTGAGGACATAAAGCCATTTTTAAAGGATTTGTTTTTAGCTAAAAAGACTTATCATTTTATTGAGTGCGTCTTCTGTGCCAGGCACTGTGATAAACACCTGCATCATCTCATTTAATCTCTACAAACATACACCATTATTACTCTGACTTAACAGATGGGAAAGGAGAAGGGATCAATTACTTGGCTAAGGTCGCATGGCAAAGCTGGAAACCAGACCAAGGTCAGTCGGATTTCAGAGCCTGTGTTATGAAATGCCATCCTAAAGCTCTTCTGGGTTCCCGTTTCTCTAGATGGATTTGACCGTGCTTTAAATTCTCCACTGGGCCATGTCAGAACGGCAGTTCTCGTTCCTATAAATTACAAGGCAGAAATGCAGAGGGGGCTGTTGTTCGTCCTTAAGGGGAGATCGGCGCGTGCGGTCACGCTGTCACGCGTTTCCACGGCAGGGACAGCCAGCCAAAGCCGTTCTCAGCAAACTGACTTGCTCTCCTCCTCACCTGTTAACTTAGTAGTGCAGCTCTTTACATGGAAGCAAACGTCAAGGCTTACTGACACTCAAGGCTGGCACATTAGAACCGCCTTTGAGTTACGACAGACACACTCACGTTATGTTTTAATCAGAATCAGACATTAAAGTGGCATAGAACACTCCATCTGATCTCTTCGCTGTTCCCAATCTCATGAATTTACAAGTCAAATGGTCACAAGCAGGTTTAAGAATTATTTTCACTGGCTTCTCCAATCCCAAAGGAGAATAAAAAGTAATAATGTAAAAAAAGTTAAGGTCAAGGTGTCTTCATATCACAGCTAACAACTAACCATTTGTTCACTAGTGGCTTCTGCCCCATCCTGAATGCTGCTGAGCTTAACTGGATATCAAACAAGTGGTTAGTTATTAGTTCCCTGGGAGACCGTCCCTGAAGGTAAGCCACGCTCTGGGGACACACGAGGCACTTTCAGTGGGGGTAGTTACCTTTTCCGGGTTGGGTACAACGTCTGGCTCTCAGAAGCGAGACAGTGAATTTACCAACAGAACATTCTGTGATTATGCACTCTTGGGATTCAGCACTGGGATTTCCGAGCGTTCTCAGAGGGGGGTTTGTGGGTTGATGAGCAGGCTGTTTAATTTCTGCCTGTGCTGTGGGCACCAGCGCATTGTCCCCTCTGATTTTTATTCTGGCCTCCTGAGTGACACCCCGTCTACACAGCGGGGCTTCCGATACTTCGCAACAAGCGGCCTGGCCGCAGGCACTGCCAATCGCCAGAACAGACGCTGTTGCAAACAGTCGGCGAGGCTGCCCGTTAAGGCTGCGCGACGTCAGCTGCGCGCAAGGAGCACGCGCACCGCGCATGCGCGGCGCGACGCCAGCTCGGGGGCCCTAATCTGCCTCATCCGCGTCTTCTCCTGCAGTGGCCGCTTCCAAAGCCGCAAGGGCTTCGGCCACCGCCGCGTCCTCGTCCACCGCATCCCCACTCCCGTCTGCGGTGGAGCCGGGCGCACCCTCCCACCCAGTTCTCGAATCGACCCTGGGCACGGCCTGAGCAGCATCCTCTTCTTTGAAGCCGACACTTAGGGCTTCTGTTGCCACGGCCTCATTTAAGGAATCCCAGCTTCTCTTCAAGGGGAAGGGCATATTCAAGCCGTGTCCCCCCGCCCTGGGGTGAAGGCCTGCCGGGGGTCCCTCCTCAGGGTGGCTCTCGGGAAGACCGTCCTTTTCTTCCCAGTCAACTGTGTCTCCAGCCGAGCCCCGAAGGGGAGGGTAATCTGGGGCTGGCATCTGGAAGTCGTGGTCTTGTACTTCCAAGGCAGGACCTTCTGCCCTGAGAGCAGCTCTGGGGTCCCCACTTTGGACGACGTGGGTCTCTCGCAGGGCCGGCAGCAGCACACTGTCCCGTCTGCCGGGGCCCCAGCCTTCCCGGAAGGGTGCAGTCGGGGGGGCGCTGTTGGCGGTACTGACGCAGGAGCCCCTCTCGCCCTGGTGGGGCCCACGGTCCCCAGTGGGCTGCGGGGGGGCGGTGGGGCCGATGCCGTTGACGGCACTGCCAGCCTTGTCCGCGCAGGGTCCCCCCACCGTGTCCCCCAGAGGGGGCGATCCCGGGGGAGGCCAGCGGGGCTCCTGCCCGCTGCCAGCTCTGCCCCTGCTGGCCGTCCTCTTCAGGCCCTCGCTCTGCAGCTCGTTTTGATGCCCCGGGGCTTGGCTGCCCTGTTTGCCTTTCCATTTACCAGCGCCCCCTTCATCCACCTTGCAGCTGTTCACCTCGTTGACGTAGCCAGAGGAGGGCACTTGAACTGGATCGAAGAGATAGCTGGCGGCGACAAGAATGAAGATCAGTCAGTTAGACATTAACTACGGTTATTCACGAACCCTCTATGAATAGCTTCCATTATCAACACTCTATGCTTCTACTTTCTGCTTCCTTCTACCATTCCTGTTAATTTCTGCGATTATTCCGTGAAGCCTCTGTATATGTCTAAACCAAATAGATCTAGTTGGTATAAACCTGTTTTACCACTGGAAATAGGTCTCAGGAAGAGATCTAAGAGACCACAGAACAGGGTGCAAAGTGGTTGATGGAATTAAAAACAACCAAAAAGTAAATAAATGTCCAATAACAGGGGAATAGGTGGTTAAACACTGATGGCACATCCCCTCCACAGAATAGTATGCAGTCATTAACAAGATAAACATGAAGTCTGGACTAGCACGGAAGACACAACAAATATTTATGATAATAAATGGTTTTTGAATCACGCCCTACCATCACACTGTGAGTACAACGGAATAAAACTTATACACACACGTATGAATAAATGGATGTAGGTGTATAGCTGTAGATGGAGAACTAGAATCATCAAAAAAGTGCTGTTTGTTAAGGGAGCAAATTAGTTAACTTCTTCCCCTTTATTTTGTGTGGAGTTCTAGTCAGGTTATCCAAATTTTTCTGAAATAGAATCTGGACAGAATTAAAACCCTGTACGTGACTGGGGTGATTTATTTTCAGTGATGCCAGGTCAGGCATCATCTCTGCAACCCCAGCTTGTCTTTGCACCGAAGGTCTCTGGAGAACTGCAAGGTCCACCTAAACCAAATTCCATCTCAGAGCACGACGGCATTCCCAATGTGCTCGGAGCAGTGAGCAACAACAACAAAACAGTTTAAATCTGGGCCACATGTCCTCTGAAATGATATACGAGCAGTTCCAAATGCATAATTTCTTGGCAATGCTGGTCATGCTTGAGGTTGGATAAATGCAGCGACCCCATGCGGGGTCTTTAGGGGGGCCTCCACAGTAGTCCCAAAGTCCTCCACTCAGGGTACTTTTCCAACTTTACCTTTGTATCATTTTACAGCACTTGCACCCCATCTGGATGAGTTTTTGTTACCATCTGGAAAAGAGAGAAAGGACAGAACATAGTGAATGACATCTGAACAGGAACTAAGTTTGCTCCTTCCTTCCCAGATTCTCCAAGTTGGGAGGGTCACAATTTTTGGCAAAAGCAGAACACGTGAGGCAGGGAGACCATGGTTACCGGGAACACCTTCACGTTTCTAAAATCACCAATTCAGAGTTCTCAAACATTTACCGACGCTCGTCTCTGTGCCAGGCCCTTTCCCCATCCTGGGGCGATAGGTAGGTTGTCTCCATTTGGTGAAGGAGGAAACACAGGCTGAAGAATGCTAGGGAGAGACCTTCGGGACTGAAAAGGATCCTTGCCATTTCCACATCGATCAATGGCCTTATGCTGGGGACTCTGGAGCCTAACCAGGGCGCAGCCATTGTGCTGACTTCTAAATGTCAGACTAAATGTCTGACTTCTGCTCAGGTCATGATCTTGCAGTTTGTGAGTTCAAGCCCCGTGTGGGGCTCTGTGCTCACAGCTCAGAGCCTGGAGCCTGCTCCCGATTCTGGGTCTCCCTCGCTCTCTGCCCCTCCCCCACACATGCTTGCTCTCTCTCAAAAATAAATAAACATTAAAACATTTTTTTCAATCATTAAAAAGAAAGGGGCATCTGGGTAAGGTGGCCGACCTGCATGCTCCACAACACAGACCCAAGAAGGTGACGGCTGTGGTCATCATTCCAAGCTTTACGGGACTAATTGGCATCTGTTGCGCCCCTCCCGTGACTGGCCAACCCTGGCAATGGCCCAGGGGCCCTACTCTTGCAGCTCAAGGACATGGCCCTTGGGGCGTCCTGGCAGCAGACGGGTTCAGCTGCTTCTTTTCTCCTACCTGCCCCTTCCCAAGTTTCGTGTTTCCTGATGCGTGCTCTCCCACTGAAATCTTCCTTTCACATGGAACTCACCGGGTTGTTCTGATCTCTCTTCTGAAGATCCTAAAAACTCGTGTGGAAGAATCTCTAAATCATTTCCCTTTTCTAATAGGAACAACCTTTAAAGTGACAAACCAGTAAGAGAATCTACAGCCCCAGTCCCTCCGTCTCCGTAAGACGTGCACACGAAGAAGAGGGAGAGATCATTCACTGTTGGTGGTGTCGCTGCCTCCCTGGCCTGTCTTCTGTCTTCCTTCAATTGTAATTGAACTCCCAGGATGCCACCACAGAAACCTTTACCCACACGGAAAATGACCGGTGCTCTTTAAGAGGTTAGGGACTGGCAGGTTATGGGTTTATACCGATAAATAAAGTCTACAAACGACCTCCTATGGGAAGGCTGAAAAATGGTCTCCAAAAGATATCCCCAACCTAATCTCTGGAATTTGCATGTAACAAAGAAACAAAAAAGGTCTTTGCAGATGTGATTACAGATTCGAGATGGGGAGATTTACTTGGACTATATGGTTCAGAGCCCAGCCTTGCTTCTTACTTGGCAGTATGACTTTGGGCCTCGGCTATTTCATCTGTAAATGGGGATAATGGTATGTCTACCATATGGTGTCGTTGGGGATTACATAAGTCAATATTCACAATAAGCATATACTTATTACTCAGACCTGTTTGGACATAGCACGTTAAAAAAAAATTTCTCTTTCCTTTCCTTCCTTTCTTCCCTTCCCCTTCTTCCTCCTTCCCTCCCTCCCTCTCTCTCCTTTCTTCTTTCCTTCCTTCTTTTCTTTCTTTTTCTTCCTTCCTTCCTTCCTTCCTTCCTTCCTTCCTTCCTTCCTTCTTTCCTTCCTTCTTTCTTTCACATATGAGCAGGGAAGAGACAGAGAGAGAAGGAGAGAGAGAATCCCAAGCAGGCTCCACAGTCAGCTCAAACCCATGAACCATGAGATCATGACCTGAGCCAAAATCAAGAGTTGGACACTTAACCAACTGAAGCACCCAGGAGCCCTGACATGTTAAAAAAAAAAAAAGTATGGAGGCCTTGCACCTAAGAAAGATGTAATGCAGTTGCCACAACATACACACAGGAACAAAAGCATTGTGAACACCAAGTAATACTTGTTTTCTGGGTTAAGGGCCAAATGGTATATTTCTATTAACTGTGGCACCAACTGAAAGTCAAGTGCCACAAAACCCGAGTGCCACAAAGGTTCCTCAGAGGGAGAAACCATTGGGAGCTTGGCCAGCGGTCAGTGTGCACAACCACTTACTGTTTCAAAGCACTCTCCGTTAAATGATCCCATGTCCAGAGCCCAGAATTTTGTTCCCAGCCTCTGCTCCCACTTACGGCTATTTTCTGCTAGCAATTCATAAATCAGCTGGAAAAACAGGACCAAGAAACAAGGACGATGTGCACCTCCCCCCCTCCATCAACCCCT